AGAATTACTAGAGAAACGGCTGCTGCTAAGCACAACAGTTCTGCACATATGCATTGATTGATATGTGGGGTTTAACGTCCCAAAACCACTATATTTCCACAGAGATTACTCCTACTGATTACTTTACGAAGAGGACCAACGGGTTGCTATGTAGGCGTCTACAGTGCCTCGCAACCAACGAGACGCTATGTGGGCGTCTACTGTGCTTCGCACGTGCTCACGCTTCTTGGGCAGAGCAGCGCATGCCTCTGGTGCACGAGCCGGGAAGACTGACGGAGTAGTTGTTCAGAAAGGGACACGTAGGCAGAACTCTTTTAGCAGACTCTTCTTTGTGACATAGCTACTTTTCTGGACACAAGTTCGCCCTCAATTAATTATTGTGTGTGTTCCCCCTGTTGCTGAATGTTCCCCTGTTGCTGAATTATGCACAGAAGCCAAGGACCATGGAAAGAGCACTGCAGTAGCGCGCCCGTCACTACAGTTTGGGTGCGGATAGTGAGCCCGCGGGCATCCTTTCGGCAAAGCGAGACAGCAGCAACGAGACGCTGAGGGAGCTGGTGCATTCCATCGTCTGCTGCTAAAGAAAGGCACTTGCATAGCTAGAGGCAATATTCGCTTACGTGGTGGGCTTGCCGACGTACTGCTCACCAATTTCGGAAATGGAATTCAGCATATCGCAAAAGACACTGCCACCGCTTTTCTACACAGCTTTACTGAAATTAACGACTTATGTGCCGTTGCGTAAGAGCCGCCTACTTCAGAAACTACGCATGACCTTGGAACACCAGTTTCAATCAGCCGAACTCTATCGCCAGCCAAGAGGAAAATCCTAGAAGACCTGATAGATGAATTCGCAGAATGTTTTTCCACCTCATTAAAAGTCCACGTACGCAGATCGTGAAGCACAGGATTATAACAGAGGAAACAACCAGGCCAGTGTATCAACACCCCTACAGAGTTTCGCAGAAAGAATGAGAGGTTATAAAGAGTCAGGTGCAGGAAATGTTGCAGGATGATGTTATTCAGCCATCTAGCAGCCTGTGGGCATCGCCGGTAGTTCTCGTGAGAAAAAAAGACAACACGTTGAGATTCTGTGTAGCCTACCGCAAACTAAACAGTGTAACCAAGCAGGATGTGTACCCCTTACTGCGTATTGATGACACATTGGATCGGCTACAGCACGTCAGATATTTCTCTTCGCTCGAATTAAAAAGCGGATATTGGCAAATCGCAGTGGATGAAAGAGACCGTGAAAAGACCGCTTTCGTAACCCCGGATGGCTTGTACAAGTTTAAAGCACTACCTTTCGGCCTCTGTTGTGCGCCAGAGACATTCCAGCGCATGATCGACTGACAGTGTCCTCACGGGGCTAAAGTGGCAGTCATGCCTAGTCTACTTTGACGATGTTGTGGTATTTTCTGCGACGTTTGACCAACACGTAGAGAGACTGCGGTCAGTGCTTCAGGCTATCCAGTCGGCCGGCTTGACAATCAAACAAGAAAAGTGCCAGTTAAGCTCCGACAAGCTTCGTTTTCTGGGACACGTAATCAGCGCAGAAGGTGTTGGCCTTGATCCTGACAAGACTGTGGCGGTCGCAGGTTTCCGAAAGCCCAGAGACAAGAAAGAGGTGCCTCGATTTTTGGGCTTATGCATTTACTACAGACGATTTGTAGAAAATTTCTCGATAATCGCCGAACCTCTAAACAAACTCACAAAAGACGAAGCATCATTCGCTTGGGGTGCAGAACGAGAAACAGCTTTCAACGAATTAAAGCAACGTTTGCAAAGCCTGCCGATCCTTGCCCACTTCGACGAGACCGCTGACACGGAACTCTATACAGACGCAAGCAATATTGGTCTTGGCGCAGTACTCGTACAATGGCAAAATGGAGAAGAAAAAGTGATAGCTTACGCCAGCCGCACCCTCTCAAAAGCCAAAAAAAAACCTATTCCGCGACAGAAAAAGAGTATTTGGCGGTGGTATGGGCTATCAGCAAGTTCAGAGCATAACTCTACGGAAGGCCATTCCGTGCCGTCAGCGACCACCACTCACTTTGCTGGCTCGCGAACTTAAAAGACCTGTCGGGATGCCTTGCCAGATGGAGCCTCGGACTGCAAGAATACGACATTACTTTTGTATACCAGTCTGGGCGAAAACACAATGATGCCAATTCCTTATCACACTCGCCACTTGACTCTACTCCTTTAGAAGAAGACGACTCAACACTTCTCTGTGTGATGGAAGCCTCAGATATCGCGGAGCATCAACGAGCTGACGCAGAACTGCTTCGATTGATCGAACACCTCGAAGGGCGTGGCGGCCAGGTCCCACGTGTATTTAGGAGAACATTATCTTCATTCTGTCTCCGTGAAAATGTGCTGTACAAAAGGAACTTCGAGCATAACAAAGAGAAGTTCTTACTCGTCGTTCCGTTAGCAATGAGGCCCGAAATCCTAGAAGCTTGTCATGATCAACCATCGTCTGGTCACTTGGGCGTCAGCCGGACATTTGCCAGAATTCATCAGAAGTATTACTGGCCCAAGCTGCTGGCGTCCGTGCAGCAATATGTGAAGACATGTCGCGAATGTCAAAGGCGCAAAAGACCACCACTGAAGACGGCCGGCCCGCTGCAGCCTATAGAACCGCCTGCTACACTATTTGAACAAGTTGGAATGAATCTTCTTGGAACCTTCCCAATATCATCATCGGGCAAGAGGTGGATCGTAGTCGCCACCGACTACTTAACGCGGTATCCTGAAACCGGCTGCCTTGAGCGAGGAAGGGCAGCTGAAGTAGCCAAGTTTTTGTGCAAAGCATAGTTCTTCGACATGGCACCCCGAAGGTAGTAATCACCGACCGAGGAGCAGCCTTCACGTCAGAGTTGATGCAGTGTTTGATGATAATGACGAACACCAGTCATAGGAAAAGCATTGCGTACCATCCCCAAATGAATGGGTTAACGGAATGCCTAAATCGCACAATCGCTGACATGCTGTCGATGTACGTGGACTTGGAGCATAAAACGTGGGATGAAATCCTGCCATACGCAACATTCGCCTATAATACGGCCCTCCAAGAGACCACCCGCGTCACCCCATTTCAGCTTGTCTATGGTCGCATAGTCAATTCAACTCTCGACGCCATGCTCCCAGTCGGCAATGACCACTACGAGCCATCTGACATTGACGAATTTCTGCAGAAAGCTGAAGAAGCACGCGAGTTGGCAAGGCACCGAATACGTCAACAACCGTTCAAGGATGCGGACAACTACAACCTGCGCCGCAGGGGAGTCAAGTACCAGCCAGGTGATCAAGTATAGATCTGGACACGAATACGACGCCGCGGCCTGTCAGAAAAGCTCCTTCGACGGTACTTTGGTCCATACAAGGTCCTTCGCCGGCTAAGTGACCTAACTTATGAAGTAATCCCTGACGGACAAGAGCGCTCGAAACAGCAAAACCATGCGGAGGTCGCCCACGTCCGCATGAAGCCATACCATGAAAGAGAATGAAACATCTATCCCCTCGACTATTAACCTTCCGAATTCACACATCGAGACAATGTGCATTTCGGAGAGGGAGTGATGCCACAGAGATCGCTCCTACTAATTATTTTACGAAGAGGACCAACGGGACGCTATGTAGGCATCTACATTGCCTCGCAACCAACGAGACGCTATGTGGGCGTCTACAGTGCCTCGCAACCAACGAGACGCTATGTGGGCGTCTACTGTGCCTCACGCGTGCTCACGCATCTTGGGCAGAGCAGCGCATGCCTCTGGTGCATGAGCACAAGCCGGGAAGACTGACAGAGTAGTTGTTCAGAAAGGACACGTAGGCGGAACGCTTTTAGTAGACTCTTCTTTGTGACATAGCTACTTTTCTGGGCACAAGTTCGCCCTCAATAAATCATTGTGTGTGTTCCCCCTGTTCTATTACGTGACAATATGATTATGAGAGACGCCGTAGTGGAGGACTCTGGAAGTTTTCGACCATCTGGGGTTCTTTAACGTGCGCCCGAATCTGAGCACACGGGCCTACAACATTTCCGCCTCTATCTGATATGCAGCCGTCGCAGCCGGGATTTGATCGCGTGACCTGCGGGCCAGACAGCTGAGTAACTTAGCCACTAGACCACCGCGGCGGGACCTGCACATATGAAAAACAACAGCTCTGTGACATAGCACTACAGCTCTACAACAACAATGGGAGGAAACATGCACCTCTATAGATAAAAAGTTAGCCGTATCCTGAACCTGAAACCTCCTCAGGTACCTTCCGAGTTCCGCGGACACTAAAGCAACGTACAGGCAAAACATAAACAAAATATTACACGCATATGAATATATCGCAGAATCTTATATTGATGAGGTAGCCGCACATCACGGAATAAGCCAGTGGCACACCGCCATTATACAAACAGCGAACTAAACGGAGAGATCAGTAAAGCGAAGTTGAGAACAGGTTTACAAAAGGTTACTATCAAATCGATGCCAGGTATAGATGGCCTAACAAACAAGATGATCTTAAATCTCGATACTGCTTCTCCGGAACAACTTTGTAGGTACATGAGCGACTGCTGGAAATGAGGCACAATACTACAACAATAGAAAACAGCTCAGATTATTCTAATGCTTTCACCAGCCAGGCGGCTACAGTCGGAGAGCTTCATTATGGACGCAGGCACTGATTCATGATGACTGGGCGCTCAGGAAGTGCATAAACTCACCATAAAAACTCAGATGTTTAACCACCCTTCAATCAAACAGAACAAAAGGCTCACAAGAACGAAACAAATAGCTGTTAACGAGAACATAATAAAAGGCCCTGATTCACAATCCGATGTACTATGATTCGCTTCATCACCAGCATTCACTTCGAAGATATACGTGGATTTTTCCAGAACATGCTCACTTATATACTTCGTACCCTCAACCCAGCAGTGAGCCCAAAGACCCCGCAAAGTACGACTCAGAACACATATGATATCCACCACTTACGTGAAGCTTCGGGATGCACCTCATAGTAGTACAGCGCACGCACAGCTGCTACATTCCCCGCGAGAGCAGCATCGTTCAGAGCCGTATCCACGCTCTCCACTGCATGGTGATGAGAGAGCAGCATTGCGACCAGCATGCCTGCCTCATCAGAAGAGCAAGCATAGTCCAAGGGTGTTGCTCCTGCCCGGTCAGCAAGAGACGCGCCTGCACACCGTTCAAGCAGTAGGCGGCCCACTTCCAGGCGCCCTGCAGAAGCGAACAGATCACCCAGTGGATACAAAACGAGCAAGAGACATGTTTTAAATTATTTTAGCATATTCTGAATCACTTTTCAGTAGTTTTCGTTAGATAATGCAATATCTTCATGTCAAGCCATATATGTTGTGTCGGGCAGTAAACGTCTAGGACCGAAAAGAGCGTGTAAAGTGACGACACAAAGCCGAGCTAGAACATAAGGGCCGAGCTGCGACGATGCTGACAGGAGACTGCTTTCTCATGTTTATTCCAGTGTTTAAAAGGAGGGGAAAAGAGGTAGATTGGCCAGCGTGACACAGGTCACCTGACTGAAGTGGCCCCGCCGGGTAGTGCAACTGCACCTCGAAAGTCAACGTCCACTTGACGACGAAGCGATTAGAGAATGAAGATAGGTGCCTTGAATTACCCTTTTTGGGTAATCGGCAGCTTATTGACTCGACTTAGTCGCACGTGGGCGGGACTAGTGAGAAAATTTGCATGGCATTGGAGGCGAGGCACCACAGTTCTCCCTCCATCACGTAATATTTTTTATTTGCTGAAATCCAGAATGTCGCAGAAGCAAACCGCGCCGCGACATAAACAACAAAAAATACCACGCTCTCCACAAAGTATACAATAATGAGTGGGGCGAACTCGGAGGTGAAGCCGTGAAACTCTCGTTGGAGCGCGGCGGTTATAGCGTCGCCTCAGATGGTCGTTGCGGATGGAGGCGATAGTGGTAAGGTTGTCAAACCACAAGCAGTCGAACAAGAAACAAGCGATCGAAAAAATTCGCAATTGTAGCGACGTCAGCACAACCAAGCTTAGATAGCAACCAGGCTTCAGCGCTTGACCATTGCTTCATGCACCGACTTCGATTCGAGGTTTTCTTGCCGCCGCTTGTGTGCCACCTACGCTTCGAGGGCTCTCACTTTGGGATCCACTTGTCCACGAGCCCGCTTTAGTTTGACTGCGTGAGCCCTCGCCGCTGCCGCCGCCTTCGGATTGATGCTGGCGCTGACTCACGATTGCTGCAGACACTGGCCTCTTCGGTCTGGTGAACTCTGATTGATTGATTGATTGATATGTAGGGTTTAACATTCCAAAACCACCATATGATTAGTAGAGACGCCGTAGTGGTGGGCTCCGTGAATTTTGACCACATGGAATCTTTCACCATGCATCCAAATCTGAGCACACAGGCCTACAACATTTTCGCCTCCATCGAAGATGCAGCCGCCGCAGCCGGGATTCGATCCCACTACCTGCGGGTCAGCAGTCGAGTACCTTAGTCACTAGACCACCCCGGTGGGTGGTCTTGTGAGCTCTCCCAGCAATGTCTTAGTGGCAGGCCACTATATCGCAGTCGCCTTACAAGCTCTCCGCACAGCTGCCTTTGCTTCGACGGTGTTCATGATGAGTAGCTGCGTGCAGATGTACACTCAGTGATTTCCTGGTAAAGAGAAAGGAATCATGCCAGACGCGCTCACCCCGAGAACTAGTGGACACTGGCGCTGAGAGACTTGTCTCGAGCCAAGGAGCTTTGCCCTGAAAATCTGCGATATGATCCTGCTGACAGGGAGAGCTCTTGCGAACCCTACCACGCCACGCTTCACGAGCCCTTGCCTGTGGTACATGCCATCTGCATATCCAGTAATGTCTGGCGGGATGGGCTGAACAGCATATGCGACTAGATTGTGACATTTATAACATGACCAGTGATTTTCCAAATCATCTTGCCCTGCCATGCTAATTATGGTTTAGCCCAAATTAAGGGGTGATTACAAAAGCGCCCAGATGTAGGCAGATAGATATATGGATAGAGACAGACAGACAGACAGGCAGGCAGGCAGGCAGGCAGGCAGGCAGGCAGGCAGGCAGGCAGGCAGGCAGGCAGGCAGATAGATGCTCAAAGTACTTTCAGTACGTAGAGAAATGCTTTGCATTCAAAAAGAGCATGTGCGACTCCTTTCAGGTGGTCCTGACTTGCCACGTAAATGTCTGTCTTTAAAGAGAAGTGGTAACTCTTTTGTGCGTAAGACTCTTCAGTAAAGATTATCACGACCCCCGAAGCGAGTTGACAAGCAGCTTTAATGAGAGACATTTACATGGCAAGTCAGTGGAGTGTCTCGATGCGCTCGTTCGCCTCCGCTCTGCTCAGAGTGGAGACAAGAGCATCGTCTGCTAAAGCGGTCGCTACTTGGTCCACTCCACAGTGTGTGCACTGCAAGCACGTGGCTTCGAAGCCTTTTGCTCTCGAGCAAAGGCACTTTCTACTGGAATTGCCCTCACAAACGCAAAATTGTTCACGAATGTTGCTAGTTATGAGTTTGTAGGCACGCATATCAACAAGTAAACAAATTTTTCGCGCCTGGAAGTGTTGCAGACCATATTGACCCTCAATGGTGGCGCGGCTGAGTGGTGCACAGCTACATCATCACTATTCACTTTTATACTTTACGAGTGGATATGTTCGTGTTTTTTAATACATAACTGGGTAGCTTTACTAGGCAAGTTAGTGATGCGGAACACTGTGTATTAGAAAACAGCAATGGAGAGGTACGATTCCCTGGAGTGTCGAAACGAAAAGCGGTGCAATAATGCACTTACCATTAAGACACAGAATATGTGCTTTTATACACGTCTGACGTTATTTCAGCTCGAATTCTCCAAGTTCGACACACAGCTAGTATTTCTGCACACACTATAGATGTCCCTGTCTTTCTTAAAGGGCCACTCAACAGGCCCCATACCAAATTTTAGTTAGACAATGAAAGTTGTTGGGTGTCCGATGAGGAACATTTTGGCATAAAAATTTTTCGAATCAGTTCATCACAAGAGGAGAAAACAGGTTTTTTGAAGCGGAGCGAAGCGAAGATCAGAAGAGGCAAGTTTGAAACCCTTGCTGCTCCCCGCATAGCCTTTGCAAGCCAAATCTCTTTCCCACTCTCTCAGGCATCCGACCAAGAGGTCACGTGCACATGATGTGCCCAAACAAGCCCAACCTTCGAGCATGCGAGCGGCGTTGCTTTGTTGACCAGCGTTATTTTGTGGTCTTCTGCCTGTTTCTGCGGGATGAATGCTTTGGTGCGCGCGTGTTTAGAAAGGTTGGCACGGATCATGGATCCTTACCGTGGCACACCGCGTCGCATCGTTGCAACCGCTGTCAGAGACGACGCACCGAGCCCTGACAGTCCACCTTCTCCAGGTGAAGGAGACGGCTTGCGTTGGTACGTTATATTACACTTAATCAGCTTCGTGCACTTACTGTTTCTTACTGCATGCTGAGTGTGTTAAAACTGGCAATGTCATGCTCAGAGCTTGTCAGTAGCGAAGACGTTTGGGTCAGGCTTCTTCCGTGCTGCACTGTTTTCACTAAATTTGTGACACTCTCTTCGATGCAGGTGTTTGTGTGGACATTGCGTGGCAAGCAGCAACGCAGGCGAAAATGTGTGCAGGTCGTGGGGTGCCGGAAGTTGTTGCCAAAGGCAACGACGATTGCATTACGCATCATGTAAATTTTGCAAATGTGTGCTTCAATGCGGCGTTTCTCGAGGCGGTGTTTTACATCTTGGCAGACTTCGACGTCGAGATGAATGCGGAGCTTCACAAATAAAAAACTCACAAAATGAAGGAGTTTTAGAATAGCGCACCGCAAGCCCTTGCGGTGTGGTCACTGCTACTGCACACGCATCGTAACGCGAGTCACCCTCCGGCGGCCCGCACGCAGAAAATCCGAAATAGCGTGGGGCAATCGCCGCCCGCGAAGCCTGCAAAGTGCTATGAGTAGCTTCCAGGCATTTGGGTTTGCGGTCAGGGCGAAAGTCCCTTGACTTTTTTCTGGGGGTAGCAAACCCTATTATAAAACTCATATGGTGCCCGCTATGCCCGCAGCCCCTGCAACTGTTACTCTAAAACTCCCTATTGTTTTCAAATGGCTTACCGCAATGTTGGCGGGTGTTGCAGGCGTATCTGTTTAGTATGGGCAACATATAGGTTTTCATATAGCGTTTGGCCCCGCAAATCCAACACATGCTCGCTCCCCTGCAAATGGGCTTTGCAGGCTGCAGTCTATTTCGGATTTTTGGCAAATGGACCGCACACGCTTACGGCGGTTTGCGTTATGATGCATGCGGAGTGGCAGCAACCGTAATGCAAAGCTTCGTGGCACGCTATTCAAAAACTTTCTACTAGCAGCGTAACCATGTCTTCTTTACCGGCACGCTAAGCTGTGGCTACGTGCGCTATCATCTGCGAACGGAGGTGGCAGAAGGCCTACGTGTAAAAAACTACACGTCAAAATCCCGTGCGAGGTGGGCAACGAGTTATAGCGGTATTTCAACGTGTAGTTTGATGCGGCAGCTTCCACATGCAGGTAAATGTGGGTGTACAAAAACACTATGTCCATGCTGGTAGGTGGAACAATTTTCAGATGCTGTGGTTGCCTATTTACAGGAAGTACCGCTTCGTGGCGTACCGGCTGTTCACGAAATGGGTGTGGAAAGAGCTTGAACACCACAACAGAGTCGTTCTGCCTGCATGTGTTGTAGCAAGGATCAAGCACGAGTATCCTTCAGCGACATACGTTCGCTTTCAACACCCCCCTTTGGACTAGGTAATTGCACTGCAATCTTTTTCTTATATACACACACGCATGCATGCACACACATGCATGCGCAAATTTAGTGATCATTGATCATAGCCTAATTAGAAATTGCACCGATTCCGAGTTTTTGTGACCCCATCTGTACATCCAAAACTTTTGTAACCTTATGATCACACAGATCCCTAATGTGAATGCTTTTCATTGTTTGCTTGAAGCAGTTTTCTGCTGCTTTCATTTCTTTTTTGAGAGCATGTGTGCAGTTTAACTGCAACTATGAACACTGCACGAAAGAAACAGGAGATTAAAAGCAAGGAATGACAAGCAAAGGTGCCGAGTTGCAGGTGATTTTATTTTTTCAATAAATGAACAGTGATAAAGCACAATAACATAGAAGTATGTCGCTTAT